ATGCTGCTTTTTCACAGAGCCGTTATATACCGTTGTTATCGCAAATAGACGATTAGTTTCACGCGACAGTTCGTTTCTTTCCGGTTGTCAATGTTGCACTAATGGGCCAATTAACTCCAAAATTATGACCCTTCTTTCTCTTCTGTTACCGTATAAACGGTGGCAAAATGCGGGGCTATATTATAGAGTAGAAAACAGCTGATGCTCTTGCTTTATGTACGTTATCTGCAGGATTGTTCCAGAAGGTGCTGAGATATTCGCATCCATATTAAATTATTTAAATGTTTCGGCCTACTGAAGAGGGTTTCAAGTTGAATTTTGCCATTTTTTTCCAAAGGATCTGTTGTATCTGTAAAATTTGAGCGGTGACTCTAAATAGACTATGCCTAAGTCACTAAGTGGAAAACACATTGTTTTCATTTTTCTGCTGACTTTGGACTGAAGTACATATTCGAGACAATTATATAGAGATAATAACCCTTGCGGTTCAGGCCAATAAACTGATCAAGTAAAGTTCTAATCCGCGATCCATATAAAATTTGACGTATTTTCTCTAGGAACGTATGTGGGACAGGTGGTTGCAAAGTATCAAAGAACGGATGACATTCAGTATACATTGTTGTATTCACAGTTGTTTGAAATAGCGAACTCATCGAACGTAAGAACATCGTTTGTCTTTATTACCGTTTCAAAATATCATCGAAAGTCGTCTTTCAGGGTGTCATTACGTCCACTCAAGAGTTCGACTTCGAGAGCGCTGTACAAGAATATCGGTTCATCGTTGAAGCATCAAATATGCGTCAAAAGACGTTCGCATCGGTAAATTGTTTAGTTTTCAAATGAACTTACGCTAAACATCCTTCGTCTTACTTGACCTTGTTCTGAGAGCGCACCGAACGTAAACAAACGTTCCTCTAATCTTGTGTCTTCAGCTTTTTTCGAAGAATGGTTGAGTCAGTCGTCGCAAACTGTAGCTAATGCACCCCCACCAGTGCCTTTTATCCATCTCAGTGGATTCAAAGAAGTTGAACACTGTGTAAGGTTTTGATCACTGACAGATACTGTTGGCGAGTGGAGGGCAGCCCCATCGCCTCGATGAAGCATGAGAGAATTAACGTTTAAAAAATAGGATGCGCGTCATATGTAGATAATTTCTTAAGTCCGTTGACAGACCAAGTAAGGAGCTCATCTATGCAGCAAGTTCGAACGATATTTTTTCGTTTCTTACAGTTTTTGTCGTGATCATCATCAAGGCTGTATAAGACCATGTAGTCATAAGCTCATTACACGTTTTCAAAGTAATATCGCAAATTTTTATTAGAAATGGTTCGTTGAACAGTCGGTAAACATTAGATCTTCCACACGACCGCGGCGGCATGATTTCATCTTAGTTTACCCTTGGACAAGTTCAACAAAATCCCTTAATCACTAAGATTATTGATCGCTGCAGAGCTGGCCCCGTTGGCCGTGTCGAGGCCTAGCAGATGTTCATTCCACAGCACTTTGACAGGCGACTGATCATGACGATTGATTGTCATGTCATGTTGCTCCTTAGTAAACATCTCTCTTCCAGATTACATCATATTTTCTATTTTTGTCCAACGCATCTGCTGTGAATTCTATGTTTCCGGCGGTTTTCTGCTTCGTTGCTACCACACCGTAAACAGATATCTAGTAGTTAACCTGCGAACACTTGAGACAGCATGACGCGTTCTGGTGAGGTCGATCAAGATAATGCGAGATACACGAACATGCTGTCTTATGCCTGCGTCCTACGACTGTAAATAGCGATGACCAACCTGACAACCAACAATGGTATCATCATTTCTCACTGTCGACTGATCGTACAGACATCAACCAGATGACTTCAGCGGATAACCTTTTACTGCCGGCGGTTTTCTACTCTGTAAGTGGCGTTGCGACAGTGTTTTCCAATTTAATATGCAAAATTGTGAATCTAGAACTCCTTTGAACATTTTGTTTGCCTTATTCAGTTTAGTGATGATTTTCAAGTGACCCTAGAGTGTCGCCATTTAACTCAGCTGAATTCCATCGTGAGGTTGGAAGTAGTCCCTAGTATGCCTAGTATTCACATGAGTGATTGATTACTTGGCTTCAGCATTCCTCATATTCGAGGTCACTTTTATATGAATAGCACAAAATCAATGAGAAACAGTTCCATTCGGCTGGATAACTGCTGCATTGCAAGAACGATAATCAATGATAATCTAGGACGTATATTTCTTTTTCAATTTTCCACTTTTGATATAGGTTCTATACGCGAGTTGCCGAACTAAATTTAAGGCGCAGCAATTCGAAACAGTGTATACTCCGTTTATTCTATTTCTTGCACATGCTGACGTTTTTGAACCGCTCATTTGCGTTTCTTGGAACGTACTCGAAACAGTGGTAAAGGGCAGGATTGTTCGCAACGGATAAGACATAGGACTCCAATGCACTTCCTTGACAGACTTAATTAACTGACACCTTTTTGTAATGGAGCTAATTGTACGGATTGTTCTCCGTTTCAAAGTAACTGTTCATGGGTGTCTCATTTCTGTAGACAGTATCGATAGCTAGGTGACTATTATGCCTTTCCGCTTCTATTATGACCATTGCCTTCTGTTTCCCTTCTACCACGTGCTACTGGCTTATCTTCCCTCAACAGAATGTTGTTGTTGTTAGTGGTTTTGTCATCACCAACTGAGACTAACAGGGCTTAAGCAGCAGAGTAACTTAGATTGATGACGTCTGATCGTTAGAAATTTCGCTTCAGATTGATGTTGCGTTCAATGCTTCGGGGAAGGTCATATTCATCCTTACAAGCTGATCCATCGAGGTATTTCCTCGATTTTCCTCGATTGTCAATCAGTGCGTCTGTAGCCGCTGCAAGTTGGTGATGAGTGAGGTTTTGAAAATATTTCCATTTTTGGCCCGATGAATGCTGAGTGACAAAGCCGCTATTCTAACAACTGATCGTTCGACAGAGAGTCTGGCACTTTACCGACAAAGCTAACCCAATCATGAAGGCAAACTTTTCAGAATGCCACTTAGTCGCAACTTACCTTTCAGTTAATGAGATTTTCGAATTTAGACTATCGTTAGTAAAGATTCCTGTTTGCCGAAGAGCCTTTTGGTTTTTTTTCATTTAATCATCACTGTTAGTTAATTCTGCAGCGGTAGAGGAAAACACGTTCTTTCGAAGGATTATATGTTATTATCTGTTACTGCAGTCACTGTCCAGGTCTCCAGTCCGTACATGATTGCTTTACACGCGTTCTTACCGGTATACTGAAGATTTTAATCCTGCAAATAAATGGAAGAACGGCAACACCTTCAAAGATCGTAACGATTACGGTAAAAAGTGCCTTCTAAAGCGTCTCGACCTCTGTGGATCTTATTTACATACATCTGATTTACCTTTATAAAACAGTTTACTAATGCATTAGTAGGGAGTACCGCAAGGCTCAGAGGTAACATCGTCGCCGACGCCGCACATCCTCTTCACAATGCTAAAGTGACGGATATGATGCATCTAAAATCCCGTGACACTTGCCATCGTTCGGTGCAACATTGGAGGCTTCTCGATAGTTTCTTCTTCTTTCTGCCATTCGCAGCAAAATCGACTTATCTTCCTTAAAAGGAATCTCGCCACTTGCCGGTAACGTTGATCAGAATAAAACTGACCTCTTGTATTGGAAGAAACTAAAATCTCAATTGTTTGGGCTTGCAGAAGTAACCAAATAGTTTAATTCATCGGTCTAGGCTGCTTATGCTGTAATGTCCATTCTGACCAGCTTGCAGCATCGCTGCTTCTTCATCTGGTTAACGTAACTTACGGGATACTTTAGGTTACAGTGAAAATTGAAGATGTAAATGACAACTCGCCGGTATTTACAAAGGGAATATATTTGGTAGAAATTCCTGAAGGACCCTATGGAAACGGAGCTGTTATAGGATTTGTCAAAGCCACTGACCGGGACAGTGGCGAGAACGGAAACGTTTACTACTACACGCCTGATTCGGGTAAACGACTGTATATTCAAATTATATTTGAAGTTGTCGCACTTCCTCTCTTTTTAGAGATTCCCTTCAACGTCAGTGAGGATGGCAACATCTTCTGCTATGGAACTATCGATCGGGAAATGAGAGAGGTGTACGAATTTGCCGTACAGGTAAATACTTATTGAAATTGACCTCTTCATTGTCCACAATTTTTCATGATATAATTTTGGGGTACACGGCGCAAAAATCAAATATAATATCAAGACAGTAAACAAAAGTTTTCAGTAAACGCTTCAGTGACAAATCAACGCTCTTCCTCAAGGTAAAATAATCGTTCACACAAACACACATGCAGCGCAGTACAAAAGTACAAGCAACTAAAATATGTTAATAGCTTCAGAAATATTAAATATAATGCGGAACTTAATGCATAATTACTAAGCTGTGAAGTGATTCTTTAGTCACGAATTTAATCGTAAGTCATTTGTGATCACTCATTAAAACGGCATTCAGGACCATTCATTAAATCAATTCAGGATTACGTCAGAAAAGCACCATCACAAAAATATTCGTTTTTAAGTTGAAAAGTTGATCTTAAAATGCTTTTTTCAGCTTTAATGAGATTACATTAATTTGTTATGCACGTGAAAAGTGGTTTATATAAAGGACATCTAGCTGTTAAATGCTGACTGCTTAAGATGCATTTAGCTCAATCCGCAACGTAAAGATTTTGTTTAATAAAATCAGTATGTGAAAAAAAACCCTTTACAGATTTTGGCAATATTTTTCATTACTTGTATTACACAAGTGTGTTCTTCGTAGCCATTACGTCGAAACTTGTAGTCGATTAAGTGAACATTAATTTAATTTTATAACAAACTTTTATTTCGGCAAAGCAGTGATTCAACACACGGAAATATGTTATGAAAATTTACATCTTAATGAAGTGTATTTAAACAATTTCATACTGCTTACGCGAGTCACCTGTCCCTGGGATGGGTGCTTTATGAAAGGATAATTGCCATATTATTTTGTACAGGTGAGAACAGTGCTGATCAATATGAAGATAACAGAAATCCTATATCCAAAAAAATGAATCAGTGTTTGCTCTATCCAGGGAAAAGTGAGATGAAAAGCAATGGATGGTACCATTTTTAATAGCTCTGAGTAACATCTGGAATGTTGCTGGGGTTTATTTTCTGTTCAATGATACGTTAGAATGATCATTTTCTAACACTTTTCACTGGCAAATTCTTCCTTTACGTCTTTCGTTTTCATACATTTGCTCGCTCATTTTTGTTCATTAACTTGTTATTTCTCTTTCGTTTTTTCAGTTCATTCATCTATTCAGTCGATTATTTTTATGATTCTTTCATCTGTCATTCTTTAGTTCATTCATTCGTTAATTCCTTCATTCATGATGATTTATTCATTTACTCTCTCTTATTCGCGGATTCCATCATTCATTCACATGTTCATTATCGTTCATTCATTCGCTAAGCCATCCGTTCTTCATTCATTCTTTACCATGCGTTTAATCTTTTTTTCGTTCAATTAGTTGATTTAAATTTTCAGACATTAGCAGCGTCGACTATCTCTTTCGCGTATGGGGAAACATCTTCGGCAGATATATACAGTGACTCCTTTCCCCGCCAATTAAATATCCTAAGAAATTTAAACTGATTAATGGTAGCATCTTCATCTTCCATCGCCGCTTCTCCTTTCGGGTCGCGGAGGCAGACGCGTCAGACAGTGCTTCCA